TAACGCTGTGCATTGCTTGCATGTTCTATGTTCCCTAAAAATAAAATTTTAATGACATTGTATGAAAAAAAAAGAAAAAGACTTCCCTCAGTTTTACTAGCGATAATAATGCAACTGTTAATCATTATACTTCAAAATACTGTTTTTTGCCCTAATAAAAAATAATAATGAAACATTCACACTTTATTATCCAACATGAATAGAACTGACTAACAAATTGCTACAAATTATTTAACTACGGAAGGGAAAAACGTGTGTCCATTTATATAACTACTGCGTCTGCTGATCACCTGGTGAATAAAATAGAAAACGAAATCGAACTTATGCTACACAGTTACTATTTCAGAGTTTGATTTAATAATAAACTATGGCTTGTAAGGCTTTTCCTTCGTGGATGTTTGCCGAATACACTCTGCCATAACAACAATAAATTCTGTATGCTGCACATGATGAAGCTTTACGGAAATGATGTGTCCATCTTTATGGAGTAAATAACCATTGTCACGTCGATAGTCTTTCAGTCTGGCTGTTGTCCAGTCACTTCGATGCAACAAATATGCGAATATATCAGCTATTTCAAATGAAGGCAAAGTATGAAGGTTTTCTTGCCAAGTTTTTACATTATACGGATCTACCAAAGTTATCGTCGACTAGCCGTGTTTTACAGTACGACAACAATTGTTTGACTCTTCGGGAACGTCTGGCTCCGAAGGATGAACATTTAACTCGTTTGCCAACTCAACAAGTTCAATAAGTTTAGCTTTACGAACATTGCTGCAAGTTATACCAGGATCCTGCAGAAATTTGCAGAGTTCTGGAACTTTTTTGCTTTTCAAATCCATTGCATTATATACGCATGTAAGAAAACAGAACATCAATCAAAACAACCCCACTCAGGCTTGTCATCTGGGTATTTTGGATGTGACCTCTAGCGGAATTCTGAGGAAAACTTAACAACTCGAAAATTAGGAATTTATTCAGCGAAAACAGTAAACGTGTCATTCACACTATGCAATAAAACTATAAATTAGTCAAATATTCTACCTATGTTTTTGTACTTTCATAGAAACATTCACAGCATTCAACTAGGATTAAGATTTTTTTTTATTCACCTATGAGAACCATACAGAGTTGAGTTTAGCAGATACTAGGTTGAATACAACATGTATTTAATCTTCATTTCAAGTTTACTGCTTTGGAATATTTTGGAATATTTTATTAATCAGTATTAGAAATCAACCTTACCACAAGTCATTCACTGAATGAGTGTTCATTTTGGCGTGTATACATGTAGCATAGGTCAACCCGTACTGCCTAAGTGCAGTATTCCCATAATAACCTTATTATTATACATGTTTTCTGATTGTAGAAATAATTTTATCAGAGATTATAGCCCAAAATGAGAACGTTTGTGTTCAGTGACAAGATTATTTTGCATCGTCCTATAGCGCATCTGCATCAAATGTAAAGATAGAAAAATGTTTAAATGTGACGTCAATAACCTGGAATGTGTCAATGTTGGTGATGTACTTAAAGGAAAAATTTTGAACGTCATCTTGACTAATATCTGATTTGTAACCCTTTTCATCCCCTCCGGAGGATGTTGTGTGTTAATAAATAAATTTACGGTGCTAAATGTATAAAAATGTCCCTTCATTTGAAATCATAGATTATATACAGTGATAAAGACAGAAGAATAGAATTATTGTGAGAACTGACAACTTGTTTGATGCATTGTGCTTCTAAAGCCAATGAGAGTTTGTTCTTTTGATTTGAATGAAATGCTAAAGACTGATATAGAAATATTTTAACAAATTTAGATGAAAAAAAAATTCATGCCTTCTGAATGTATGAATTTTATTCCATTTCTAAAATATAGAAATCACTTCTGCTTATTCAATATTCAAAGTGCTAGGTTAGATTACACAGTGACTTCCCTGCATGTCGCACATGACAACAAATAAATGAATTCAATATTTTATAGGTGAACATGTATAGAATATCTAATGAGTGACCTATGGTATCAGAATTATTAAACAATTGTAGTAAGAGAAATATGTATGGGTCAAGCAGGTCGGTAAGTTGAATCACTGACTAAAAGAAATGTATCATCCTTTAGTGTGAATTTTGCAGTGATTAGAAGCTTATGATGAGCTATATTTTGGAATTTTATGAGTGTGCAAATTGTTAGCAAAGTCTAATGAGATGTTTTAGAAAGTGTAATAAAGTAAAAATAATCCATGGCTTTATGTCACTGATACCACATAACACATGTGTTAAAACATGAATATTATTTTATAGTGACCAATACAGAGTATACATGCAATAATTTCAAAATCAATGTTTTCATTGAAATGTTACCAATCATCTTGATCGCAATAACAAATCTATAAATCAAAAATCATTTGCGAAACCTAGAGTAATCAATTCACGGATCATAACAATGCGAATACAATAAATGACTGCATTGCGTGAGGCCAGGTAAAGGTTGCAATGATTCATATGTACATAGGAGGGGCGTAACATCCCACTCTGCTTACGCCTAGAAACCCACTAAGTTGGTCAAATTTCCTTCAAGTGTTACATGCGTAGGTATACAGAACTTGTCATACAAATAATTTCGAGGTAACCATAAACTATTATTGTAATAATATTAATAAACAAATTGATGAAGTCAGGGAGGCTGAAAATGAACATATTGCGCTGAGATTTCATAAGCAAAAAACTGACTGTTATCGATACATCTGCAGTACAAAAATGCATGCATCTTCCTTTCCATTCATGAACTAGTTCAACTATCAAAACAACTAAAAAAATATCAATGAACATATGAAATAAATATTAGTATCGTGTACTTACTCTTTCCGACCACATCTTTTAGCGCCATCTTGGATTCTATTTTTCAGACAGGAGTGGTGAATTGTGGGTAAACGGGTCATACCATTATATTTAAGGGTGTACAGCACAGCACAAGTTTCTCCCTGACTGCAATGTACGCGACTGTTGACCCGGGCCAAATAAAGTTGACTTCTATTAGTTATCTATTACGTGTTATATTCATTCATTTATAATTATTCTATTCTATTACCAGTGTGAAATTGGCATGCAATAAGAGCACACAATAGAAGCTGACACGATATAAGAGTACTAAAAAATGCCGTAAACCGGCGTTTTTGTCGTGTACAGTGTTGGTGTGACTAAAATAATGTGACTAAAATAATCAAAATTGGGGTAATAACTGCCTCGTTCGTTTTCAATCTCAACTGCTCATTCAATCAGAAAAAAGGCCATTTTTGGCTACAGCCCAGTTGTCCGAAGGTTCACGAGACCGAACATAAATAATAATTATTTCAATCAATGAATTGAAGAAGAAATCTATTGCACAAGGGTTTAATTTTATGATATTGTATTAATAATAAACAAATTAAAAACGATAAACCATGAAATTTGGATGTCATGTGACAAAACCGAGAAAGGACTTTGCACGTCGTGTGGGGAAAGCTCCACTCAGCATAGAGGCATATCAATATTTCTATAAGCAACTGTATGACGACATCACTTAATATACGATATATTAATATTTCTATAA